CCTAATAAAACAATATAGGCCTACTACACTAAATCAGATTATATATGACTGTTAATAATTAGTACATCATCTCTCAGCAAGTCCATGAACACACTATTTGTGTTCTGATCATGTTTGAGTAAAAGCAAAGAGGTGGCATGTGACTGCAATCAGGGCAAACCTAAAATTATCCCAAACATGCTCACTGGAAGCTGCAGCTGCATTGACAGACAGCTGTATTATTACTGGGCGATAATTGTGACTGTTTGATGGAGGCATCAGAACAGCATCTGTAACGAGAGCAGAGACAAATCACAGCTCAGAGTCTGCATGTGCTCTAATTATCACCTCTTTCGGTGTTTTCATGTGTGAATAAAAATTAAAGTATCCTTGGATCAGATGATGTAAAATGCAAATCCCGATAGAGAATTTATTAGTTCCTCTTAGGTTTAAACAACAACAGTATATTATGATTATTGTAATTTACACACGCTAAATAAATATATGTTCTGTGCTACCAAGCCCAAAGTGTTTTTAAAGTTAGAGGTAATTAGAAGTATAAACTGAGTGCGGTACGAAGTACAATTTTCATATCCTATAAAATATTGTTTTGTCCAAGTCTGTATTTATAATAATCTTGATGAACACTACATTCTGTGTTGCTTTGATAAACACTTGTTCTACGCTAAAGACATAAAATCTGAGATTTATGAAAGGCAAGGAGTTTTTAGCAAATAAAGAATCTGATTTAAAAAATAAGAGGTCAGTAGAACGTCTTTTGTTCAGGCCACTAAACTTAACACAATCCAAGCCTTATCCACTATCTCTCCCTGAAAAATGTGATTTATAAACAGGTCTGACTTGATCTGAATGATCAGTTTCTCATGATGATTCCACTCCTGAAATGGACTCTAAGCAGTCAAAGCAAAGATGCCCAGACATCCTAATCCACACAAACACCTCCTCCAGCTGCTCTGCGGGGAAAAACAGGCCAGAGACATAGTCCCTCCAGCGTGTCCTGGGCCTTCCACAAGGCCTCCTCCAAATAGGACATGCCTGGAAAACCTCCCAAAGGGAGCCGACCAGGAGGCATCCGGAACGGATGCCCGAGCCACCTCAGTTGGCTCCTTTCGACGTAGAGCAGCAACGACTCTACACCGAGCTCCTCTCGAGTAACTGAGCTCCTTACCCGCTCTCAAAGGGTACGCCCAGCCACCCTGCGAAGGAAACTCATTTCGGCCACTTTTATTTGCGATCTTGTCCTTTCTGTCATTATCCAGATCACATGACCATAGATGAGGGTGTGAACTTAGATCAATTGGTAAATCGAGAGTTTTGTCCCAGAACTCGACAAGACCCCAAGATACTTGAACTCCTCCACTTGAGACAAAGACTCTCCACCGACCTGAAGAGGGGAGTCCACCTTTCTCCTGTGGAGAACCGTGGCCTCAGACTTGGAGGTGCTGATCCTCATCCAGCCGCTTAACACTCGGCTTCAAACCACCCTAGTGTACACCAAAGCTCCTGGTTTAATGAGGCCAACAAGAGAACATCATCTGCAAACAGCAGAGATGATATCCCTAAAATGGCACAAATGGCTGAGACCAAAATGCACGGGAAACAGATCTGACTTACTTCTGGCAATGTTGGGAATATATATTATCATAACTGACCTTTTTTTTTTTTAATAGAAAAGACGGGTGATTACAATTTCCTTTGTGTTTGATTTTGAGCGTACATGTGTCCCTTAAAAAGATTTATGAAGTCACTTAATTTATTAGATTCTCTCCCAATGGTAAATGTTGACCAGGTTATAGAATAAAATAGAATAGAATTTACTTTATTATATGTCATGTAGGTTGTTTGATATTCATTATTTTACTTTTTATTTCTGTTTGTTATAAAACAAATAATTCACAAAACAGTTATAAAAAAAGAGATCAGATGAAAATAACCTTATTTTCAGTTCTGTGTTGCTTATATTCAGCCAGAACTTTCAAACTTTGAAGAATGCAGCTTCTTGGAGTGAAACCAAACTGAAGAACTTCATGAACATTATGTGGATCTTATAATCACTATACTTTCTTAAACTGGGATACATCAGCAGCTTAGCCTCATCATAGAGTCCTTATCATCCAACTGGCTTTCCTAAAGGGCTTCTTGGCTGTTAAAATGAATAATGCACATTATGTCTTAAGCTTTAGAGGGAAAATCAAGCTCTCTGCAATTAATGAATCCATGATGCGAGCAGAGCCTGAAGTACCTCATATTTCTTACCTGGATGGCTTCTTCCCAAAGGCATGCTTTTGCCACCTGATAACCCTGATAATGGGTTATGCATATAAGTTTATATTCAATCCCCACCAAGAGAGGGGCAAATATGTTGTTTATATAATAACTTTCTGACCGTCATATATTAATCGGTGAGCACTCACCGATCTGGTTGTTTAAAAACAACAACAAAAAAGTGTAAAAAAGGCTTAGATCATGGTTAAACAGAGATAAATATTTCAGCATGGATTTTATGTTTAAGAACCCAAAGTTTATTTTAAAGAGTTTGAAATTAGATTAAATTAGCATTTAAATCATCTGCAGCAATTAAAATGTGTTCACACCAATTCACAATGTACCGTATATCTAAGGAGTAACATGAAACTATACTATATATATAAAAAAAAAGAGCTAATTATAAAGTTTGTAAAATTGTAAAACCACACAGGAACATTCCTTATTATGTGGGAATTCTTCATTGATTACTTTATGTGTGCTTTAAGCTAGTAAATAAGACCCTGAGGTTGTTTTTACTACCCATTTCTTTTGTTATTTTACAGTTGACTGCTGCAGAAAAGTACAGCTAAGTGTAGAAAAAAAAAAACAAATTAAAACAAAAAAATATATATACATTAAAAAGCTCTGTTGGAATTTCTTTCATGACTTCTAATTTTGTAGTTTGACCATTGAAAAAATCGTATATCCAAGAAAACTGACATGTTTTTATTGATATTTTATTGATTTATAAATGAGAAGAAATTGCCCAGCTGGTTAAAATAGAGTTTTTTTTTTTTTGGTAATGAAGAGCAATCTTGTAGTTCTTGGTGGCTCCAATTAAAAGCAGATTTGTCATTATTAAATATATTTTTTCACACCTGTTTGCTTGGACAATATGTGAGCGCAGCTACATTTAAAAATATAGTCACACTGAAAAGGAAAGAAATAATTAGATGCATCTAAAAAAACAGGTTGTTATGTGATAGTTGCAAAATCTATAAAAAATGTACATTATTATTAATAATAATATATACCATATAAACTATGTTGATGCACCATAATTTTGTCAAACTCCAAAAAAACAAAACAAAACAAAAAAACGAGTAAATCTTTGGACCAAAGGAGGAAAGATCCAGGGTTTGGACACAGCTTTAGCTGATACAACTGGAAATCACAGATTACTGCAAACATCTTGGTGTCATGATGGGATCAGAGCTGAACCTTCAGAGCCACACAAAGGCAGTTAATAAGTCAGTCTTTTATCACCTGAAGAACATTTCCAAGATTAAAGTACTACTTAAAAAAAATTCATTTTTTTTCTTCTCTTCCCTGATTTAAATGTTACTTCTACATCATGGAGGGATGAGAAGACCCTTCTCTTCCAAATGTGTTCCTGTGTTGACTCTATTTTAACTTTTGCAGGGTACATGAAGCAGCAAAACAACTCCAAGTCTTTGATTCTATGTACTCTGTTGCCCTCTCCTGGCTGTTTTTTGTTTATGCAAGCTCTCAATCTATCCATGCCTAAATCGTTTAAAAGTCATTTCTTGTAATTTTTATCATGATTAAAGTGATGTAATGTTACATTCTCGTGCAAATATAAATCACAAGCTCACCAAATCCCCTTTTTTTAATCTCTAATGCAAACATCATTGCAATCTATGGTAATACAACTGTCCTGTAAAGAGGAAATCACTCACACCACATTTGTGGGGGTAAGGTGAAGACATTGCATATAACATCTCATTGCTGCTTTTTATGCCTATTTCTGTGTCAAGAAGTTGTCAGTCAAAGGACAAGTAACCACTTTCAGTTCCTCTGTAAGTAAGACTGAACGATTCTTCGCAATAAGACTTAAAAAATGGAACCAACTGCAGCTGACTAGTTTATATTAATTACAGATTTGCATTTCTTCTTTGGTTCAATATTGTGGATAATTCGTGTAACTGTTTATTTTCTGGTTTGGCACTGTTTATTTTCCCAACTATTTGCATTAGCTTCTATTAATTGATTAATTCATTTAATCTCAGGTTACATTAGAGCTTAGTTTATGTGTCAGATTAGATATGCAGATATGCAAAAGTTCTCCAGTTCACCAGTTGCTTGAGCCATCCATACCCCCTTTGTTTATGCAGGGCCATTGGAGAAGTTTGGGTTTTATTTCCACCAATCATTGGGCTTTACTGCTGAGTAAACCCTGGACAGGATATCGGCACATCACAGGAAACTGGGGTAAAAATGTGCATATTCTTACACTTAATGGTAAGTTAGAGAGAAGCAGGTTTATTAATTTGTGGCTTGAAGGAAACTGATGTACTTGGGAGGACAGGTTAAAGGATGAAGCTTTTCCTCCTGAGCCACTCACCCCAGTCCAGGACATACAGCAGCTCCAACAATATGCCGCAGGGCACCAGCGCCTCCAGCTACTCCACCATCATCCCATATATAAATATATATATTTTTAAAAAGCATTTTAATATAACACAAAATAAAGATGATATGCAGGTCTGGTTCCCTTACTGGACAACAAAAATAACCTTCACACTCAGGTTTTAAAATAGCAGATGCTCACTTCACACCTAAGTATTCTCAGCTACGTCCTTTATTAAGTTTTCTAACCAGTCTCTGTCTTTCCGGGGTTTATTGAGGAACTATAAAGCACAAAACAACATTCAAACCTTTCAGTTCCTTTGTTAATAATGCTGTTGGTGCCCTGCCAACCCCTCCCCCGACCCCGACACACCAACACACACACACACACAAAAAGATAAACTATTCAGAGATCACATCAGATATAACCTTGAACCTCATGATATAAACTTGTGTTATAGTTTAAGGCATGATCACTACAGCAAATAAATAAAGCATTTTCCTTTACTTTATGGGAGTATGCAACCCATCATCTTATGTTAGCATGTTAAAAAAAACAGAGGAACTCTAACATGTAAGCTACTACACATATGAAAGGATCTCAGATACAAATTGGCAAGTACAGCATAATACAGCCTAAAAAAATTAACAAACAAATAAAAGCATTGCATAAAAAATAACAACAACAAAAACAACACATTTCTACATATATTAAAACAAAGTCTGGCTAAACCATTTGAGACATGCACTGCAATCAATGGTACAAAGTGACTGGATAAATTCCCATCTTTTAAACATGTAACTCAAGCTAAAAAACCTTGCATGATCAACCTATACAACTGTTTTCTTTTTGCTAAATAGTCCAAATAATTCAAATGTATACTTAATAAACCAGTCACTATACTTACTGTATGTGCACTTTTACCACATAAACTTTAGCATACAACTAAGTTCTATCTCCTACTGTTAAATGGGATCAAACTTGCCAAAAAAAATTAAACTGTCAAACCTGTAAGGTCACACCTAATACACAAAAGGTGCATCTAATTAATCAGAATATCATAAAAATGGGAGATATGTTACTAATTCCCTTATTCAAAGTCAAACACATGTTGTTACATATATACAAAACACTATACACCATAATCAAAATATTTTTTTTATTGTGACAAGAAATGTTAAGCTGACACAATAAATAAATTGCTATTATATAATATAGTAATATAGTACGGTTAAAACATGACTCTTCTATTTGTTGTACACTTTTTGCACATAATAGAAAAAGACAACATTGGAGTGCAACTAAAAAAAATGTATGATCTTTTTTTTGGTAGATTAAACTTTGTTATTGATGTTATATACATCAAAAAATGTATGCCTTATTGGGATGACACCAAGATAACAGTAAATCCAAATAACTAGTTAATTTACTATTTTACGTTATATAATAAATGAATACCTACTGAAATATTTATAAGCATATCTAAATAAACATAATGCATACAGTATATCTAAATGTTTTATAATGAGATTTAATAAGCAATTATATAATAATTCGGTTTCATTTTTAAAAGGCATATTCAATTATTTAAAGGCATATTTAACTATTTATGCACTTTATAATTATATGCATTTGTGCATTTATTTTTTAATGATTTATTAGATAAACAAATAGCATATTTATTAATCTAAAGCAACATTTTGAGCAAATAGAGACGCTAGATCTGTAACCTCCACATTTAGGACACGTGCAACAATTGAAAAATCTTCCCCTGGACCATTTTGGACCAGCAGATTGAGAAGAACAATGCCACATTAACCCCCCAAGATCAAGTCACAAAAGCAAAAATATGTCTGATCCTTTTTTTTTTTTTTTTGTTGTTTTACCTTAAAACAGTTTTATTGCATACAGTAATTAGCTCTATTATTTATGTGCAGCTCAGACCACCTTAAAGCCCAGCTTTAGGTCACATGACTCTTTCAGCAAATTATCCAACTCTCTCCAGTTAGATAGGCAAGTTAAAAAAAAGGCCAGCATCGGTAGAGCACCAGCATGCCCCTAGTGCACTATAATAAACTGAAAATTATTGAATAAATCTCAAAATAAGGTAAAATTAAGGGCTAAAGTTATAAAGTGTTGCTTTTATATGACATTTAAAGGTTTTATTTGTTTCACACAAAGTTTAGCTCATGGTACATTTACATCTAACTATTTCATGATATGTTTATTTATTTAATGTTGTCCCTTCCAACCCTCCAAAGAACTGAAGTGTATATTGGTGCAAGCCCATGGTGATAACCTTATTAGATTATGCACTAGAAATTCCTTTGACTATTTCAGCATTGCCTTGGTCCATTCAACAGGTCTGTGTTCTCAGTCGGAGTGTCTCCTGTCTTCAGAGCTCTCTGGACATTTTGCCAAAAGACTTCCGGGTGTTGTGCAGCTTGAGGCCAGCTTAGGTAGGTGTGTTTCTTCACCAGCTTTCTAATGTGGTAACATGGAGACAGATACCGGGAAGGGATGTCCTCCAAAAATAACAGGATCAGCACATCTTTCTTCTCATCAAACAGACGATAGCTGAAGGTATTGAATTAAAGAGAAAAACAGTATTTATGACTTTTTTTACACAAAGCATGCTATGGTTTTAATGGTATGGTTGGATCTGTCCTGTGTGCTGCTGGGATATTGGGGTTTGAGGCAATGAAACATATCAGTGCCCTTTCAAAGCAGAGTCACTGGATATTTTTAGGTTTTCATAAGTTTACAACTAAACTAGCTGTAGTGCCTACTTGGAGAACAACAGATGGGTCAAATATGAGTTGGGAGCCTTGCCTCATAAAGCAGAGTGGAGATGTTGCGTTTAAGGAACGCCTTCACTCCACTTTATGAGTGGCTGACAAATAAGATTTTTATATGGGATTGCTCAGGTGGTTATCCCTATGCAAAATATATCTGTGCATAATTTTCTATGTTTAACTTGATTCATATCTATGTAGATAAACTTAATTGTTGTCTAAGTCATTTAAAACAAACCTTCCTTAATAACTTAAAAAACAATGTAAACATGGCATCTCTAAAAATATAACAAATTTAAGAAATTACATACAAGTTAATCAAAAAATACTAACCTGAATCTTATGTAAAATTTAAGTAAGTAAGTTGTTTTAGAACTGTACATTTTATGCTATATATATATGAATGACGTAAAATTTAAGAAAGAATCTGTCTATGTGTCTATGTCCTCCTGAGACCCACCAACTCATATTTGTCCTCCGTATGGGACATGATGTTTAGAACTCTAATGCAAACTTGATTGCAATCCATGGTACACAACATTTGTGGGGTTTAGGCTAACAGAGCACATGCATTGTGAGTTCAAAATGGTGGAAAGTACTGCATCCACGTTATTTGGCAGTAGGGGAGGTAAGTAATCAGTTATTTAAAGAAAACACACAGCTGTTGCTAATAATTAAGTTTCAGATTTAATTTAAAATCTATAGTTTGAGTTGGTTAAATTTCAGAAATATATGATTTATTTAAACAAGTTAAATCTTAGCTTGTCAAAATAAAAGTTTTATCTAATGTAATTTGTAGGGGACAGCTACAGTAGTGATTATTTATCGTTCAGAAGACTGATTGAGACATAAAGCTTTTTAAATTTTGTTAGGGGGGGTCAAACATACAGATAAAAAGAAAGAAGGCAAATTAGTATAGTAGAAAGGTGAAACCAGATGGAACAATAAAACAGCTTTCAAGGAGCAAAGCTCCAGGAACAAAGTAGGGCGTACCACCAGCAAATAATAAATGGAAAGCAATGTATAAGCTGTATATTTAATATATTACGTAATTGTTGACCTTATGTTTACTGTACATAATAATTCTATCATTTCTTTTACTTTGTCATTAGTAATTCTTGTGCAATTCAAAAGTTTTCTTGAAAATGTATGGAAACATAGAATTTATAGATGGGCAGCATGCCGCTGTCCCGATTATATTTCAGAACAGTTCTCAAACAAAAGCTGGATTACATCTTAAAAGCTTGATGTATTTCTAATACTTTGAGCTTCATTTTTATTCTTTTAAGTTAAAAAAAATCTTATATTTAAGCACGGGGCCCCCACCTTGCCATCTGAATCTCCCTGGAGCACCATTCACTCTGCAGGTAGTTTTGACTGATAACACAGATGGTCTTCCTGCTGCTATAAATGGCATCAGTGATGTTCTCAATGATGGGTTTACCTGTGAAACCAAAATATATTTTTTAAAGGGTTGTTTACTTAATACAAAGAAGCATACAGAATTAGTGTAGATGCTTATATTGCTTTTATATTATTTATTCTTTACATAGAATAAAAAAAATGAAAACCCTGTCACAAACAATAATAATCCATTCAAACATCACTATTAAACGTTTTTCTTTGCCTTAAACTGACTGCAGTAATAATGGAGGGCAGAAACGGCTCCCACTAGTGACCTTTGAATCTAAATAGTTATTCAAGAAAGAAGTTTTTAGGTTTTTTACATTTCCTGAAATGCAAATGCAAAGAATTCTGTAGATTTTTCAACCAAAAACAGTCTTCTTTTGCAACAAATGCATTTCAGACTTTAACTCTTCCTTCACCTTTAATATTATCAGTGGTGGAAGAAGCACTAAACAGTAATACGTGAGTGGAAGTACTGATACTCATAGTCAAACCTTACTCAACTACAGGTAAAAGTTACTTGTTCAAACATCTACTCAAGTTAAAGTATTGAACCACTCACTTTTGAAAATACTTAAGGATTCAAAATTACAAATCGCATTTTCTATTATCAGTACATTTCTAATTTTTAGAGTAGTTTTAAAGAACCTTGTAACTTTTAGAAACCACCTGATGTATTGATGCATAGAACCACCTGCTACAGATTCTACACCACCTCTATAAAACTTCAGCATTAAAATACAAAAAAAAAAAAAAAAAGACAGCTATTTTGATTATTATTTTTTAAATAGAAGTGTAAGTTTGAATCTGTTACCACAAAGAAACTCCAACTTTTCTTTGAGAACTCATCCTACTGAACAACTTGGCCATATGGCAACAACTAATGCCTTCAAATGTATAAACAACAAATAATATCTACCCTGAGTTTCTCACATTTGTGGATCGTCATGCAAATCTCTAACAGTGGTGTCCAAATCCAATCCTAGGGACTGCTATCTGCTATGTTGAAATTGCATTTCAAGAAAGAAAAAACCACAATAGAGGATTACAAAGCTAAACTGAGGCAAAACGAATGAGGAACTAGAGGTTTCCTGAAAATAGTGGATTAGAAAGTAAAATAAAAAAAAACTCCAGTGAAGTAAAGATACACAAAAAAAGCACTTAAGTACAGTAATCAAGTAAATGTACTTTGCTACTTTCCACCACTGAATATTATCAAGTTTACTTGATGCAGTGATAGCTTTGGATCATGAAGCCATAGTTTACCTGGTTGAAAGTCTCTGTGGTGCAGACAGAGTCTCCAGCCTTGCTCTCCCTCCAACACTGGAAGCATCTCTTTGTAAACCCAGTTCTCATCATGGACGTTATAGGATACAAATGCATCAAACCGACGCGGGCCCCCCTTTTTTTCCCTTCTGCTGTCATAGAGATAGGCCAGGAAGAGATGAAAGGTGTAGGTAAGATGCCATCTCAGGAAGTTATAGATAAAGCACGTAAGAAGAGTAAGAACAACGAGACAAGAGCTGGAAATGAAACAGAAAAAGCTACCATCGTCCCTACATGAGTGGATATCAAATTCTAGTAACAAACTTCCTTGTTTGTCTGAGGGAAAGGAACATTTATAACGATGAGCGTTTACTACCTGTGTTTGCTTGTTGTTCTTTACCCATTGGATAAAACCTGCATTTGAGCAGTCACAGGTGAATGGGTTTTTATCTAGATCCAAGTATGTTAGAGAGGGAAAATCCTTGAAAACTGTCTCGTTGATCCATAAAAGCTTGTTTTCAGTGAGTTTCAAATATTTAAGTGCTGATAGATTGGCCTGCATCAGAAAATCCAAAGAACTTATGTTGGAAGCGGAAAGATCAAGACTCTGCAGATTTGGAATTGGCAGAAAAATTTCTGCATCCAAGTCTGAAAGATTTCCCTCTGTGAATGCTACACTCTTCAGGTGGGGATTAAATTGAAATATGTCTGTACCTGAAACTTGAGAAGTAAATCTTACAGCTGTAAAATTCTCCAAATATCTCATAGTCCAGAGTACTTCTTTCATGTCCAATGCTGAAAAAAAAAAGTTGCAGATCATTGTGAGACTTTTCATAGATTCTAAGTAAATTATATCTCTTGAAGAAGTCGATTGAAGTCTGTTCAAAGATTCGTGGGGATTTAACCTTATTGTTAATTTTTCCAGGTGCTTGAGTTCAAATATGTCATGAGATATAGTAATATTCTCCACGTTATTTAATTTATCAAATGCTTTTTGTGTCAGCATCTCCCAAAAACATGTTGCTACATCAAGCTCTTTAAGGGACTGGAAATCAATAAAATCAATCATTTTTAGAAATCCAATCTCATTGCGGTTTATCTTCAACACTTCAAGATTAGGAAGAACTAGATCATTGTCAAATGTTGTCAGCGAATTAAAACTCAAATCTAAAATCTTTAGATTTTCCAGATTTTCCAATGCACACCCAACCACATAGCTAATGCGATTATTTTTCAGGTAAAGTTCTGCTAACAGACTCGTGTTCCAAAAATCATAACAGGTCAAATCTAGTATATAATTGTAATTTAGATTTAAGATCTTAAGGAAACTTAGATTTTTTATATCATCTGGAACTTTGATGAGCTGATTGCCACTCATGTTTAAAGATTGGAGCTGCTTCATTGATTGTAATGAACCTAGTGGCAGTTCACCTATGTCACTCTTTCTCATGTCAAGCTCAGTGAGCTGAGAGCAGAGTGATATTTGAACAGCCAAATTGTTAATATTGCTGTTAAACAAATCCAGCTTCCTCAGCGTTGGTATTTTGCAGACTGTAAATAATAGTCCTTCGTAAACCCGCATCTTCAGGGCATTTAGTCTCAGATGCCTTAACGAGTCAAGACTCTCCAAAACTTTTGTGATCCCTTCATCGGAAAGAATTGGCCTCTCAAGATATAAATGTGATATGTTCTTCAGCAACTCTTTTTCAGGGATATCCCATTGGAGGTCTTTATAATATAAACACATAGTGAACTCGACCCTATGGAGATAAGGAAAAATTGGTTTAGTGAGGCTGAAAACCTTCAGGTAATCACCAGAAATATCCAATTCTTTGAGATTTGAGGGAAGACCAAGCTGCAGGTCCCTGGTATTGAAGGAAGAAAACCCACTGCATTTTAGTCCAAGAGTTCGGATTCGTGGTAACTGTAGGATTGGCTGAATATCAGTGATTTGTTGAAGCCTATTGTTTCCTATATCTAGGGTCTCTAAGTTAATAAGGGATTGGAAAGCTCTTGAATCAATAAACTGTATGCCATTATTGTTGAGAAGAAGCACAGTAAGGTTGGACAAACCCTGAAACATGTTGTTTATCAGATAATTAAGCTTGTTATTTCCCATGCGGAGAGTTTTAAGAAAAATTAAATCGATAAATGACCCTTGGTCCACATCTGTAATTTGATTTACTGTTAGATCCAGAGTTCTAAGCTTTGACATGCCAAGGAAATCGTCTTTGTTAATTTTTTGAAGCCAGTTGTTGTTCAGTTTTAATGACACAACATCTTTAGGGATGTCTTTTGGGACTGTCTCGATTTTCCTCTTTGCGCAGTCCAAACAAATATCAGCGGAGGGATTCTCCTGATACAGTATAGTGCAGTTTTTCAGAACATAAGGTAGCGAAGAGTTAAAACAAGCCAGAAAAAGGAGAAGAAGCAGAAGAATGTGTGAAGACTCTGAGTTGGCCATGCTTAGTTTGATGTGGTTGATTGTCATTCAAGGATGATTACCTGCAAGCAATATTTAAAACATATAAGATAAAAAATTGTAGCTTTATTAGATGTGGTCAAAATACATATGATCAAACTGATATATTCAAAAAGCTGATAGTGAGTTCAAATTAATCTTACATCAGTATAGACAAAATAAAAATAAAAAAAGCTAGAAAACTACGGCAAACTGATAAAACTTAAGCAATTCATAAACTAAATACACTGGTGCATAATTTCACAATTTTAATATTCCATATTTACATGACGGGTAAGACAAACATGTAGAGGAAATACAAAAATATACATATATATACTGTATGTATATATATATATATATATATATATATATCCCACATAAAAAAGGATATAAGATATAGATGAATGGATGTAAATAGACATTATATACTTTATTATAATCAACGGCTAAGTTAGTCGTTGACAAGAAAATTGTGGTTTACCAGCACAGCAGCCTGTTTGTTGAGCTTTTACTTGTAATTAGAAATAGCAATCACTCATCTTTTCCTGATTTAAATCATCATCATCTCACCCAGTCATCTGGAATACTTTTTTACTATCACTTTAAAAAATATTTTTTCATACACTGTCACAACTACTTTTAAAGTTTTTGACTTTGGGTCATTTACAGTTTTGGCTAGTCTGTTTTAAAAGTTAACAAACTCATCTGAAAAAACTTGATTTCAATTTAATATTTAAATAAAGCAATTGTTATTAGTAAACAAGGGTAGATATTTCTGGTACTTACAGTTTCGCACCATGTTGCATCTTAACTGAGGCCTTAGCAGATGTCGAGCAGAGTTCTTTTTGACTGTGTTTCACAGGAGGTGGATTCCTTTAGCACATAAACAGGAAGCTGCATGTTGCACTGTATGCTCTCTTTTGTGTTAAACCTCTTGTCTGCCACATAAGAATATATAGAACCACTGTGTAAAATATATTTAGATTTAATCAATGCTAAGTTTTATTTAAAATATTTTAATAACAAAATAAAGAGATAAACAGAGTTGTTGTGTTTAACTCAGCAGGGCCTAAGACTGGCTTGGAATGTGTCTAAATATTCAGGTTCTAACTGCTTTGTTTGTATTTATTTTACAGTTAAATTGAATAAATGAAAGTGAATTGAAATGTGATGGTTTTATGTCTTACATCTTTCAACTTTTACTACAGTATAGGCTTTAAATCTAACTTCAAGGTTCCTTATTTTTCTATGTTGTCTTTTTTTGACCATGTTTTTTTTTTAAAAGAAGTGAAACCAAACTTCAGTCTTTTACTTCTTGTTCTGTTTTCTGTCTGACAACTTGGCATAAGAAATGTCTTAGAGACAGAAAAAGTGCATCACCAGTGGAGCATTATCGCCATAGTGCTCTAGTTGATTTATATATGCAAATAGTTTTCTCATGGTTTTTGTTGGGAATAATTCACGTTACTTGGACATTACAAAAAAGGGAAAAGAGGTAAAATAAAGAAAATAACAAAAGAAAGATATTGACAAAACTTCATCTGTTTGCTTCATTACCTGCAAAGGCAAATGTAAAAAGAAAAACATGACCAACAGATTTAGAAATACAGACACAATAGAGCAACATACAGTATTAATCAATATGGAATGCATAAAGTGGTTGTTGAAGACAGATATTGCAAGTAATGTATGTAAGTTACCAGATCCAAGCAACTGTTGGTGTTTGTGAGAGTGCATTTGTGTGTCTAAGATTTATTCATGGGGAAAAATGCTCAGTGAAGAGCCAAAGATGGCTCTTCAGGAGCCGGATGGACGAGCCCATGGGCTCCACCTGGCAGCCAGTCACGCCAAGGACCAACCTGGGTCCCTGCCCCAGACACTGAGTATCACCAATGCACCTGCGGGCCAAGGCGCCAGCCAGTGGAGGTGGTCGGGGCAGGGTGGTGGGTGTACTACACACAAACATTAGCAGATGCTGTACACACATTTGCATGCCTCAAACACATCCCATATTCCCAGGTCCCAAGTCACCCCAAAGGACCAGGCAACCGGACCTGATACTTGAAAACTAAATGCGAAATGAGGAGTGGGGGGAATTCAACCACACCTTCCCTGTTCTTGCTCTGGTCGCATCCAGAACAGACAGGCCCTTCAAGGCGGTGCCAACATGATCCAGACAGGCCAGTCAGCCAAAGCTCCCCCACCGCCAAACAACCCCCCACCCCACTCTTTCTAAGATGTCAGGATTATTGCAGATGGGTGTACAGCTGCATGGAATAAGGGAGTACGTCATTTAAAAAAATAACAGGATTACCAAATAATACATTTGTGCAGAAGAAACTCTTTTTTGCAATTTTTTTTTCTTTATATACTTCATAAACGATCTTTACATTGGGTAATGCATGCAGTATATGTTAAGAAATTATAAGACATTACAGCGAAAACATCTACTGTTAGCTGCATTTTCAACTAGTCTCTAAATGGCTTAAGTTACTGTGGATTAAGAATGTTGAGGTATGTCTGTTTTCAGTCTCAGGCTCCAAATGAAGGCCAGGAGAGCTACTGTAAGGATAAAGTGGTTGTAGCTCCCTTAGCCTCCCCCATGCCGTAAACGGAAGACAGCAGTTGTGAAATGTTTTATCTGGCTAGGGGAAAATCCTTGGTGGGGTGGGAAGGTTCCCTGGGAGTGTGTATTTGGAGTTTTTGTATATATTTAAGAGTAAAAAGGCACCTGAGAAAGGCTTTTTCTCTCCAACTGAAGATGTAAAAAGAAAGTTATTAAGTTTTCTACAACTCCACCTTACTCATTGTGGGTGGCATAGCCAGAAAACATATTCAAGAGTAGACATCCATCCTAGTTAACCTGGAAAAGAACAACTTTCAACAGAATAGGTGGTCTTAGACATAACCTTTTATCTACCTACTGTACAAAGCACCTTTAGGAGCAATACCCAGAAGATTCACCTCTCACCTGCACTCACCTGACCCGCACTTCAATGATGCATGTGGCCGAAAGGACTCTGACGAGGGAGTTAATGACCTATCAGAAGCCCCTAACGACCTTTAACACCCCCAATGTGACTTCCTCAGACAATCCAGTGGAGGGAATCAAAGCCACCATTTTTCCCCCTAATTCTTTTGTTACACCTACAGTATATTAATCTCAGTGCTCCCTACCACTATTTAGAACTGAAGAAGCCTCTTCTATGAGAGGCGAAACGCCTTTTAGAAAACCTCACATCCAGTTGCCTAAACTGAACTTTTCAAGCTCGACCATGACCTGGATGACTGAGAATCTTCACAGAGGTTTAAGTAAAGGTAAAAAGTACCACCTCTCCCTAAAGTGCATTGTTTTCTTAAAGTCACTCAAGAAAATGTAGCTATAATTATACCCACTTCTGGGTAAACTCACACCTCAAAATATGTGAAATCTTAAGTTTTTTTTTAGAGTCTATCTTGTTCCTTTTACACTTCTGAGTATCTGAGGAACTAAGTCACAGAGCAACAGAATTTATTTTAGTTGTTTGTTTTCATTTCCACTTACAGTATTTTTCCATAGCTTGAATGTATTAATAAATAACCGAATTTAAAGACTTTATTTTAAAACATATCTATACATCTACATATTTTATTTAGACAATAAGAAAAAAGGTTGCATGTTTGGAGTCTATGCAATATGTTCATAAAAAAAAACTACAAACATAAAAAAACTGACACCAAGCAAAAAAACAGCCAAATTGTTGCAGCAACATAGAGGTACTAGTTATAGAAAAAAAATTACATAAATGATGTAAATGCAAAATTAAGAAGCTTAAATTTAAAATGATCTAATCCCTCATTTTAAAGAGTAAGGATATAAATACATCCAACAAATAAAAATGCCTTTAAATCCCTCAAAAGATTGAACCTGTTACAAAAGTTACTGCTACAGCATGCAACAGGAAGCAACACAAACTAAAATATGCATTGATGTGATCCTTCAATAAACACTTACTCCACATTTACATTGTTAACAGGATTATAAATGACTTTCTAGTTACACTAGCAGCCATTCAAAATGGCCCCTTCCAGTCAAACGCCAGCCGAATGTCAGCCCACTTCCCTGCAACTCACAGCAAAATCCCCTCCAACTTCCTGCCACTGGAGTGACCCCCTCCTTCTCCTCAGCGTGCATTTTTTTATTGACCCTGACTCCACCATTTCACTGAATTACAGAGTCTGACCACAAGAAGGCGCTTCTCTTTAGATCTTAATGTACACAAAACATGACAGAAAGAACATTTTACTACAAAAATGGATGTTTAAAAAGGAAATGTAGGGAACCAGCCAGGAAATCTTGAATGGCTACTACTATATGATGAGTTGATATGAAACAGAAGTCATGAATATCTTTGTTGAAATAGATTTAAGGATGTTTAAAAAAAAACAAAAAAACATTAAGGGTAATTGATTAATATACACTCATTTTTATCTCTGGAATATTAAGTAATCTTAAATCATTTGCACGTTATTCAATATGTAGTTTGTCCGGTAAGGAGGTCAGTGTTCTCAGTGAGAGCGTCTCCTGTCTGCAGAGCTCTCTTGACATTCTGCCAAAAGAGTCGTGGGTGTTGCGCAGCCTGAGGCCAGCTGAGGTATGTACGTTTCTTCACCAGGTTCCTCATGCCGTAGAGTGCAGACAAATGATAAGTAGGGATCTCCTCCAAAAACAGCAGGATCAGCACACCCTTCTGCTCGTCAAACAGACGGAAGCTAAAGAAAGTCATGTAAAAGAGGAGGAGGAGGTATTTGTTAATATGTCTTTTCAGAGGTGAACAAGGGCTGTTCATGAGTCTAATTAGCATATCTAGTTATGATTTTTTTAATGTTTACCATATTCAACTAAGAGATTTTTTATGTTTTTTAATAAAACTCCTGTTAAGAGCTCAAAATATTTTTTCATCATACTGATTACAGAACTAGTACAATTTATTCATTACACTGAATGACAGTGTCCGTACCTGGCCATCTGTATCTCTCTTGAGCACCATTCAC